GCCAAGTCAAGGGTTAAGGGAAAAAACCGAATGGGACCACTAACGGATTGAGCCCCAAAAATAGTGTATCCCGCAAAGGGAGTAAAAGTGTATGTTTTTTTTTCGTAAATTGTTGCTTATGGTAATACGTTAAGTGGGTTATTGTAATGTCGGATCGCTTTTTGAAATTACTTGGATTTATACCTTGTACGTACTTACCTATTTAATATCTCAAGTATGTGTGACTGAACGTTGAGCTCGGCTAAAAATGCAAATCTGTACAAACAAAAATGTTCAATGTAAATTTGTTTGATTTAAATACTGGTGTAATTAAACGACGTTAATTGTATGCATTTTAACGCGGTTATTTGATATTATTTTTAAATTAATTTAATATATTTTACAACACACCGTTTCTATAATCGGTTTTGCGTTAGTTCCATTGCCATTAGCGTCGGCTGAAACAATGCGACCGTTGTGACTGTTAAGACAACATGTACAATACTTATACTTATACTTTGCTGGTTTCTAGGTCGTTTTCCGAGACTACCCCGCGCATCACAACGCTATCTATTTCCCAGAGCAAGTATTCACAACACTTAGGTACTTACACGTAGCATCGACTAAAACCGTATTGGAGTGTAGTGAAAAAAAGGCAATCGCTGTAATCGTTTTGGTGTGTGTAAAGAACCTAAGGAAAATTGTTAATATTTCCTCAGCCGCCGAGTAAAAAAAAAAAAAATATCCAATATTCAGCAAAATGATTTTGGTTTTTCCATCATGACTCGAAAAATGTAAAAACTAAAGTCTACGTAATTTTATTTTTAGCGTTTTAAGTAAAAAATGAAGAAAAAAAAGTTTTAAAATAAAGTTGTGTAGAATTTAGTTCCCAACAAAATTCAAAATTCAATTTTTTTTTTTCATTTTTGTAGCATTAAAACCATCGGTGTTATGATGGAAAATCTAAATCATTTTGCCGGATATTAGTTTCTTGACACTCCGTTTAACATGTCATATTTTTATTACAAAATTATGATCACTGATCTACACTACACACGCCATGCACTACAATCATTTGTAATCACACATTACTAGAGGCATGGAGCTATATGCACTGGAAATATGCTATATATGATGCTATATATATATATTATACATATATGTTTGCATTAAAAATTGTTTACCAGTTTTTTTTTTAAATCTATGCAGTATACTATTTAAATAGGCTGTATTGCCAAATTATCTACCCGATAAGGGTAAAAAAAAATTAAATTGAATTAATTTACATATTTTGTATTCAGTAAAAAGTGTATTTAGAATATTGTTCTCTTTTAATATATTATAATGGATGCTTTTACTCTAAAACCAAAACTAAGCGAGTTATTTTCAGTCTGCTTAAACATGTAGAGACGAAAAAACATTTTTAAATCGCTCTCAGGGATGCTGTGATAGTCCAAAAAATAAATTAACTACCAAAATAGAGTCCTAGTTATTGGACTATTAATCACACATTACAGTTTAACCTTTAAATTAAGATTTTGTAATAAAATTGCCTATACTTTACTTCTTAAAAATGGACGGTGCGGCGCCCTCTTAATATATACTAACAAGATATTTTTCCTACTTTAAGAAATACTATTATCAACAATTGTTCGTGGTTATTTCATGTTGATAATTGTCATTCGGCATATTATTGTTAATTGTATTATTTTTATATTGATTGCATCGTTTACATTTTATTATATATTTAGGTATTTTTTGTTTTTAATTTGTATAATACACGATGTGCACAGATGCTTTTACCCAAAATAAAATGTGTAAAGTACTTAACGCCTGTTTGCAAGTAGTATAAATTCAAGTAAGGACAATAATTAGGAACCGTACATGGTAGCGCGTTAATGTTCAAACAGTTAATGTACACAACAAAAGCATTATTATTATAATCATTATTTTGGTACTTTCGACTTTTCGTCAAAACAGCAAAAAACGATCAGTATATTTCTGTATTACATCATAATTATATTATTTTTTTGGTTTTTCTTTTGCCATAAGTTAAAACACAATTGAAATATTGTATAAAAAAAAAAAAATGAGCAATAAATAGTAAAACATTGAAAACAAATTTTTAGCTATCCATAAGCACTAGCGATTAATTATCACAATACACTATATTCGAACGGTATCTATTATAAAATAATAGTAATAGAATTGATTATATAATAGTCTATTACATAATCAATGGTAATAGTCATAGTAAAAACGATTAATCTGCTTCACACGTAGGTATATGAAAATAAAAACGTTAAGGCGTCAATACGAGGTAGATAGGCCATGCGATTGCCAATGGGAAAAAACATGACTCATATTTTAAAATTGTTCTCTAATCCTTTATAAAACACACAATAATGTTGTTGAAATGTAAAAAAAAATTAGCCGTCTATTAAATTTGAATTTTTTACATTTCTACAAAGTTATCATATACCCACGGTATCTTCTAAATTTTTTATTAAGTCGATTATTTGAAAAAAATCTCCATCTTCCTTTTCGTTATCAAAAACATTGGAAATTTGCAATGTTCTATAGACACGGTGTTATCAGAGTATATATATACATTGACAAACCAAACATTAGGTACGTTTAACCCTTTCCCACTTAAGGGATGGAAACTTTTTTTTTTTTTTTTTCACTTTTTTCAGTATAGACTCGGGGCTCGAGGTCTCTGTAAATTAGGAACTGCGCGCCTGATTGGTTGCAGACGGTTTTTTTTTTTTAGAGCGTCAACAAGTGTAGAAGGGTTTCGACTTCCCTGGCTCCCCCCACCCCCCTCTCTAGTAGCGCCAATAAAGTAAGAAAGACAGACTCGTTTCAACGCCAATCTCGTCTGATAAAATAAAATGACATTTCCGCCTTGTTTCCGCCTTCGCAATAGGTTTGTCGGAAGTGAACCGCTCATTTGTGACAGCCGACCCAGTTTTACACTCCAAAACGCCAACCTGGAACTGCTCCTACGCGCCACTTGTTGTGTAGAACGCACTTGACCGAACGGCAACAGCCTTGAACATGTGCACAGATGATATCGGTGCACTGCGAATCAGATAATATTGCCCGTGTGTATCGTTTTAGAAACCCATCCGGCCCCTGGCGATGATCAATCAAAAGATAATAATAAATATTGTTGTACCTATGTGCAATGAAATTATATTGTTAAATAAAAATTATACGTACGCTTAAATTATAAAAAAAAAATAATATATATTCTACAGCAATTACCTCCGTAATTGTCTATACAAATTATGTATATAAGCTAACCTTGAACGGTGTACACTGATGGATAGATACCGTAGTTTTTCAATTATTAACAACTGTAAATCACGCTGTATAAATACTTGGTTAAAAAAAAAAAAAAAAATCACTACTCCCAACTTGGCTACACAATCTCCACAAAGAAAATATTACGCTGTCTAATATTGGTTTGTGCTTTTTTGGAAAAATTGTGATTAAAATTTGAAATATTCTAAGCACTTAATTGTATGGGTCAACCGTGATGGTGAAAATTTAACATTATTTTTGTGGCAGCTGACATTGCGGGAAAAAAAAATTCTGAATTAGTCGTTGATTCTCATCAAAACTATCTTAGAAAAAAACCAAGAAAACATATCCACGATTCAATGTTTTTCCGTGCAGCGGAATTAGCTAACCGACCAACGTTTAATGTTTTTTTTTTTTTAACATTTACTTATTTGATATTTTCTAGAATAATACTAATAAAATGGTCGAATTAGTTATTCCAAACTCGTATGGAATATTCTTTAGACAGTATAGTACTACCGATGGACATTGACAAACCGAAACAAAATACCAGAAGACTAGGGAAAGGGGGGGAAACTTTTTCTTTATTTCATTTTTTTCTGCCAACTCTTAGAACCCCTATGGGTCTGAAAATGTGTACATACAGACCTAGTAGACCTAGTGTGGGGCTATGATATATTATTAAGTTTTCTTGAAAAAAAATCTGGATCCACCCTAATAACTAAAAATATAATTTTAAGCACACTATTGACAACGTGCTAACCAGTTCTTCTCGGAATTAAAGATGATCTAAATTGAAAAAAAATTGAAAATTCTAATAGTTTTTTTGTAACGTTTCCCCCTCAATTTTCAACTAAAGCGGGAAGGATTGCATTTTTGAGTAAAATGTGTATATTGTGTTTACTGTAGTTACAGACAACTTACAGAGTTTATTTCTGATTTGAATTCAACTCGAGTGTTAACTATGCGTCATATGTCTATTAACTAGACAGGCAACGCTTAAAATTATAACCATAAATTATTTTTCTACACTGTCAAAAGTTCGGTTAACTTGATTAGTTTTTTTTTTCTACATTTTATATTATCTACAGCGTGTTACGCGCAACACGGAAACTGTGTTACAACTCATTGCCGGCAATTTAGAGCACGCTAGATCTGAGAAATCAGGTTATATGGAACCTAACCTAGCCTTGAATGAATCTATTTACATTGCCATTTGAAATGGAAATCCGATGTTTATTAAAAAAAAAAAAACAAAAAAAAAATACTCGTTTTTAGGTAGTCTGTATTTAAAAGAAAACAAAAACGAATACAAGTTTTTTTTTTCATTTTAAATATTAATTAGTAGATCCGCATGATATTATTTACACGGGCGACAAAAAAAAAAAAATCATCTCGACGGTGATTATACGTATAATAATTAATAATGCGTTATATAAAACACACTTGTGCACATTTTTTTTTTTTTTTTTTTAACGTTTAAGTTTAGTTTTTTTGCGGATAAAATATAATACAGTAACGAAGAAGAATTTATTTACACAAACACAAAAAATATATATTCAAAAATCATATCTGATATGGTTTATGAAAATAATTCGACCCGGAAAAACAGTGGCATTGAACGCAAGAATACTGAAACTCATAAGTTAACTTTATAAATGTGTTGCCTTCCCCTCCCAGCTTTAGACAAAAAGACAAACAAATATCGTTCGGTGTGTTCGGTTCAAACAATGTGTACTTAACACATTTCACTGTGTACTTATCTCGCATCGAGTTTTGCACCTTGTTTTATTGATTTATTTAAAAACGAACGCAGTTTATTAAGCGGCAACGAACTGTTATTGGAGAAAATAGAAAAATTTCATATGCACCCGCGCTTAATATTGAATAAAACTCACTCGATTTAACAAGGGCTACTGCAAATCAAAAATTACCATCCCAATAGATTTTTTATTATCATATTATACAGTTGATCGCTCAGTTTCTATAGACTTTTACGGTTTTCAACATGGCGTCATGTGGAACAACTTTGAGCGTATTATGTATTTTGATTTTATTGGAAACGGCCATGGCTACTGCTGTTCTTTCTAAGTGTTTCTGTTGCGGTTCATCGTCAAAAACAGGTAAGTATACACACAAAATTATCAACAAAAAAAAGTGATGAATTTAACATAAGTCACTGGGGTTTTAATTTTTTTTTTAACATGCATCTGTAAACATTATGTATAGCGTAATATACTGAATTTTTTTTTCCTGTACTTATCTACTGATTTTGTTTCACTGTACTTATTACACAGAACAGATGAAAGCAGTAAGGTCACTTTCAATGTAATCAAAAAAAGTGACGGCCATTTTGTAAAATGGTTTTTTTCACAGCGTTATATCTATACTGTATACACAACAAATGGTCACACTGCGACATCTGAGAAGATGGCCGCCGCGTTTTTGCGTGATAAGGATGTCCCCCGCGTTAATTTTTATCAGTGTACGGTTAGGTCTGCTCATTACTCCGGCTTGCCGGTGCACACATAAATAAATCTAAATTTCGATATAATATTTTACATATTATAATACTATGTACCTATATTCGTCGAGTAGGTCTGGTAACGCCTACCTAAGGATTAAAAATATGTTACAATTTATCTGGATAAAAATTTAGCTATAGTAGGTAATTGTGTACGTTTAGATTTTTTATTGTTTTTTTGTTTTATATTACTAGAAGAGGGACCAATGGAAGCATCAGTAGCAGCAGCACCGTCGCCACCAATGGTAGATAAGAAAGTAGTAGAACCACCACTACCAGCAGCAGAAGCAGAACTAGAACAAGAGCAATCGCTGGTAGCTGAGGAAGCCGCTGCAGAGGAACAACCCGTAGCAGCAGCAAAACCAGAGCCACCGGCAGCAGAAGAAGAAGAACCAGAGTCACCACCAGCAGCAGAAGAAGCACCAGCACATCCACCGTCTCGGTCGCACCCAGAAGATGATTTATCTGCTGGTTCTTCAGGATACTTTGATTACGAACCATTATACACTGTACACCCAGAATTCGCAGATGAGTTACCTGAAGCAGCCGAAGGGGTGTATGATCATATTTTTGCTGGATCCAGTGTTTATTATGAACACGAGCACTATCAAAAAGCGCAAGAGGAACTAAAAAGAAGGACGAGTAAGGATGACATTAACAGAGGTTTTAAGCGGTGCAACCCAAACGGCTCCCATCCATTGTTTGTTTTTTCCCAAACGGCTCCGGTATTCGGTACTAAGCGTATATTATCAAGTCTCATTAACTTTACAAAAAACTTAAACTTAAATTTAAACCTGTAACCTCCTCCTAGACTGTAGTCTACAAACCTAGGATATTTTTAGTTAGCGGAGCGAAGCGACGGCACCGAGCGAGTGCCAAAACACTCGGAGATCTGCCGTCCTTATCAGCTATCAATACGAATTCCGAATTTGGTAAAAGTGGTAGCAACCCCTATTAATTTGGGAATTTACCTTTTTGTAAAACGGGAGCCGTTTAGGAAAAATGGGAGCCGAATGGGCTACGTCCGTTTTAAGGTGTACATAGAGAAAACTTACCTACCTTCCTGTCATTTCCCACAAAGGAGACGCTGTCCTTCCTTGAAATCGACATTCTTTCTTATGTTGTATCGCATCAATACTGACTACTACTTCTGATTGTATTTGTTTAGTTTGAACTTTTCTAATTTCTGCTAATCTTTCTGCTGTTCTAAATCGCATTATTTGAACTTAAATCGTCCGTTTTAATTAGTTGTTTATTGTGTGCCAACATGGTTTGTTCCCAGCACAATTTTATCGTCACGAAGTAATTCTTCTTTATTTGTGAACTCACAATTTTGACAAATTTGATCTTTTTGTTTTTATCTTAACACATACACAATCAGTATATGGTTGCACACGATGATTACCATATTCTAAAATAGTGCGCTGGTTGAATGCGTTTATGTAAAAGATGTATAAAGGATATTCGGATCTTCTTAGAAGGCAACTCGGATAAAAAAAATACTGACCATAACCATATTAATTTATGTTTAATTTTTTTAATTTAGAAGCAAAAGCAAAAGCACAAGCTAGAGCTCAAGCACAAGATTAAGACCAATACGGGGATAGGCTTGTTTTCCTTTTGGTACATCGCTGGCGGCTTATAACACAATGTGTTTCACAACTTTATAATATTTATTTGTATAATATAAATCTATAGATAAATACACGAATTCAAGATATGTGTTTAAATCACGTGTATATTAATTTATAAGTTAATTTTTCTTTGGGGAAAAAATGTGTGTCCGTATTAAAATATAAGAATAGAAATGTGTACTTTCTACTTTGATGTGTTAACTTTTCAATGTTAAAAATTATTATCATCTTAACAACAAAAAATGTAAATAAATAATATGGTACTTGTTACCCAATAGTTAAATAAGTAAAACATATAATTGGAGATTGAAAATATTATACATATATTTTATTGTACTTTACCATTATCAAACGCTTGATAACGGTTATTGGTATCTGTTATGTTTTATACCGTGGTATCGTCTAAAACAAGTAATTTGCTCTGTTCGACGAGACAAAGGGAATATTTTATTCTCTCGAAAGAACGTTGTTGTCAATGTTTTTTTATTAAAAAATTTAGATCTAACAGGAGCTTGCATGGGCTTACAGAAAATGTAGGGGAAAAAAAGTAAAACTACACGGCAAACCGCTGAGGCGGTAATTAAGTTTACAAACGTTCACGACGAGGTGTATTAAAAAAAAAAAATTCTTTGAAAAGTTTGATATTGAAATAAAAATGAAAATAACAACAGCTAGCAAACAAGAGCACATAACAGATGTGTTAATAGCATCGGTTGAGTGTTATTATAGAGTCCCTCCTTATATGCATTCCATTTTTGGATAGGTTTCAACGACGGTTACTAAATGGCAACTATTCTACGGCAAAATATTTTGTTTTAAATATACATTTTTGTAATGTTAAATGCATATCATAATCCGTCGTAATAAAATATAACATTAAAACGCAAATATAATAAAAATACATCATATGGAATTGTTCACAAACAAATCAAACTACCTAATGTAATAACCGTGTTGCGTTTCCACTAAAACGCACAGCGAAGGGCTAATATATTATTTATATATTCATGGCAATTTGAATGCCACAATATCTAACATATTGTCATGCATCTCGTTTTGTATGCAGCATCTACAAGGACTAAGTTAAATGATGCAAATTCGGTCTATTAATAGACACTAAAATGTTGTATAAATAACGAATTTTATTTATAATTTAATCGAATTAAAACGTATAGTACGTTTTTTTTATCGAATAAATTATGTAAAAATAACTGATTGGCTTTGCTATCATAATATTTGATTGTACTATACATATAGAAAACAACGGGGAATTCGTTCGGCGTTGGAGAAAAAAAAAGGCGCCTCGCGTAGGCAACCAAACACACATGAATGTATCTTATGATGTCGCACGGTCGACTTTAAGGAGAATGCTTACTCATCATTTTTCAGTTTTTTACAGAGAAGAGCGTCGGAATGAAATAATTGCATATTAATATTGTTTTTTTTTATTATAAAAAATTAATTATATCAGTTTATATTATCGTTTGATTTTGCTTTCTATTTTTTAGCGATGCCGTATAGTACATACCCAACATAATGTATGTTTTACTAAACTGAATCAATTCAAACGCATTTTTGGTTTTAGGACGAATCAAATTACATTAAAACGCATTTAATTATAATATATCCACCAACCAAAAAATACAATTATATATTAACGCCTTATTTTTTTTATATGCAAAATATCTTATATATCATACGCCTATTATGTTAATGGTTATAATCCACACATAATAACGTCGGTCTATCGTACACCTAGTTAGGTATTTAGCACTGGAATGACAATTAGCACACAAACACATACTCATCATAGTATATAAATTACAACTTTTATTATAAGCCCTGTCATAAACTGGATAATACAAATACCGGGCGGCACTGTTAACGTGCAGGCAGACTCGCATAGTTCATAAATTATAAATTATAATCATCCATAAAATGTTATTAGGTAGGTACCAGTTTCTACGACAACCGCTGGTCATTACTTATCTATCTAATAGCTCATTAATCACCGAGATAATCGAATAATCCGTTAAACAAGCTCAACCATAAGTAGGTACATGTGTGTATATATATAAGTTAAGTTATGTATATAGATGTGTATTTGTAGGCACTGATGATATTATGGTTATTGTGAGTTTTTGATGGATATTTTTCCTGTTCAAATTCATAATCACATTAATATTGGAGAACCGTAGACCTGACATCAACCGAAGAGCATTGCCGACAGCGGTTCGTTGGCAAGGGCTACGCGATAGTTTTAATGTGAAGCCAACACAATGACTACCAAAGTCAGCATATTATGTCTAGTTAGATGAGGAAAAAAAACAATATTGTCCAATATGTGGTGGTGAGATATCAATGATAACAGAATCGGATAGGCGATAAAAGCGTCTCTTATCAGTGATAAGGAGGTGTAGATATGGCGTTATCTAAGTCATGAAGAGATTAGGGGCTGTGATTACGAACGAACTTACCTTATCACTGATAAGTGGAGGAGGGGTGATAACAGAAGTTCGGAGGTGTGATAACAGAAGGTCATACAGCCAAAACGTACTACTCCTACTTAATTTTTTTTTTAATTAAGTTTTTTTTTTTTTAACTGATCTACTTGTCTCGAGGGCGACCTCTCTTGAGACGACAAATCGAGGGTACCTAAGTCCAGTAGCTTGTGATGTTGGACTTTTTTTTTTGGCCTAAATCGGGTCTCGAGTATATTTTATCTAAGTGCAGTTTAAGTGCAGTTATCCGTGTATTCGACACGGATCAATGAACAACTGATTGTGTTTAAAACCAACTATCGGATTGATTCCAAAAAATCATATTTTTGTCAATATTTTGTGTTAGAATTTGCAACCGTTGCAATATGATGATATTATACCAATTAAAATAATATGTGCATTCAAAATCATTATCGACCGTCAGCGACCTCGATAATAGTATTAACTAATTTAATCAATTTTTTTTTGCACAATATGTACAAATATTTATTTACAATTTTGTATTTTTTTTTATTACATAATATTTACATACATACAACGGATAAAAAAAACCAACTAACCGACTAACGACACGTCGGCGTTTTCAATACATATACTATACCACTATAGTAATATAATTATTAAAATTAGCACATTATTATTATTAAGTATATAAACATTTGTAAAAAACAAATAATTATTATTATATTCGGTTCTGGCTACGAGTGTGTGTTATCTGCAAGTGTAAAATTTACTATAGAGCGTATAATATATAGATAAGTAGTCTGTAGAAGTAAAACAAAATAAAAAGTGCAGTGTTGTAGTAAATTGTTTTACATGCAATATTATTTTTTTTTTAATGACCGTTGAATTTCCACACGCTGACTTATCGATTGCACACATTTAAATAAATTATTTTAATATAGGTACTTGTGCAAAAAAAAAATATTAATACAGTATACCTAGAGCGTTTTTTAAATTAAATTTAATATATCATGTGCTCTAAGTGCACATGCATAAAATATGTTAATATAATACAACCTATTATGGATTGGCTTTTGAACGACGACAGTGTGGTTAAGTGACACGTGGAAACATTTTTAAAGGCTCTAAACAACAATAAATTTGGATATGCATTGTTAACTAAAAAAAAAAAAAATGTAATTCTCTAACCGATAATACTATTCTTTATTTGCGATTGAACGAAAATTCGGGTTTAGTCCAGAATAAATTACCTCTTTTTAACTAAAATAAGTATGGATACCTGTTTTTCGCTTGTCGTCTGCCAAAACCTCTACCCTAATCACCTTTACAACGAATAATAATAATTAAATCTCCAAGCAGCAAAAGTGGAAGTTGTTTAAATGAAAAAAAAATTCAAACAATTATAATGCAAATTTATTCAAATACAACAACTATACGGAATAAAAATTATTCAATTTTACCAACACACACACACACATACGAGTATATGCAAATAATAATAATAATTAAATAACTAAAAATATACAAATCGTTTAAATAATCAAGTCGATTTAAATTTGGAAATTTATATAATATGAAAATAACTGGTTATAATATAATTTTGATGCGCCAATAATATTATTCAGCTGTATTATTATTCGATTAATACAACTAGTTGTTGTTTAAATCAAATAATAAACGTCCACGATCGCCTCCGAGCATGACATTGCACATAGAAATAATAATAAATAAAAAAACTAGCTTGATAAAAAAAATAGCTCGATTTTTAATATTATTGTTTTATTAAGATCATTTTTTTTTTAAGGTTTTAAAGGGTGTTTTTACTCGTTTGGCGCTTGAAACGTTTATAGTGACAATAATATTGTCAGGCCAGTCACTATTCATTATGTTAACAGCTAGTGCATGCAATACTATACTATTATCTAAGCCTAAATACGATGTACTGTATCGCAGTGATAGGTACGTTTGTCTGTACACTGTTTTTTAATGAAAACGCTAAGATAATTATTATTGTTATTATACGTGTATAATGATAATACTATCAAAACTAAATGCAAGTAAAGTATAGCCAAAGAACCTGAATCTCTGTTTACAGAATTGAAATTGGACCATCCCAAGATGTCGACATTTTGTCTAGCTTTTTGGTCTGAAATAAACCGAAATTACTTTTACTCATAACAAAAACCACTAACATGGTCGAAATTTATTGAAAACCACTTTTTTTCTTAAATATTTCCTATACAAAACTCCTTTGAAACAGACCGCGTGCAAGCCCCTTAAAATATATTAATTATTTTGTATTCAATATACGAGCATATACTTAATAAACGGTCGATTTAGTGATTGCCTGGACTACTGGCTATAAATGATTATTAATGAAACGCCTAACCGACTTACATACCAAATATTGAATATTATATAATTGGTTTTTTTTTTTCAATAGTGTACCATCATCGATCTGTTCTATTCGGTCGATTATTTATTTTTATAATAATAAAAAATAATATACAAACGCGGTGCCGAGTGTTAGATTGCAGTAGACAAAACCGCGTTCGTGATAACCCTTTTTTCTGTGTGTAGGTACATATTATTATTGTATAGAAAAATACCTTAATACAATCCTTTTTGTACTATACACATATTAATACATCCGATTTCGTTTTTTCTATTAACAATTCATT